GGGGGGGGGGTGAGTGTGCCCCCAGTGGAAGGGCATCCTGTCCGGGGAGGTTCCTGCCTTGTGTCCTGATCTGCTGGGAGAGGCTCCAGCCACCGGAAACCCTGAACTGGAAAAAACGGGTTGGAAAATAATGATCTGACTTGTTTTTATTAATCTTTCTTAAATGTATGTGTAGCTCACCTTTATACCTTTATTTCAATGTTTATTATTAGAAGTGTTTTGGGTCTTTATTTAATAGCTTGGTATGGTTTTTTGTGACCAGAAATATGCCCTAGGACCTTAACTCTTGTTTATATCAATTAGTCTATGGTGAAATTGGCTTCACTGAACCTCATTTTGCTTAAAATTGCAGTTCCCAAGAACCTATAGATGACGTTAAGTGAAGACTTAGTGTACCCTCTTTTTTCACTTTATTTGCTAGATGGTTCTTCATAAAAATTCACTTGAACCGGATATATCAATTAGTACTTTAAATATTGCAGAGAATATGTTATCCTGCTTGAACTTTTGGCACTCCAGAGGAGAAAGGTACTGACACCCTCCTTTATTGTTTCACCAGTTAACAGCACATTAAAAAAACACACACACTTTTTTTGCATTAAAGAAAAACAAACACTGTATAATTCTCTACCCCTATTTTGCCTGTTCGTGTAGTAGGTCTACTGCTCATCAAATCACTTATCTGCTGGCAAAGCACTTATCTGGTAGCAGTGCTGTAGATAAACTCATCTGTATGATCACGAAGATGTGGACATTGTCCCTGTCTTCCCAGAGTGCTACCCACAAAGGGTGTGGTCAGATGGCCACACATCTGCCACCGAACCAGGTCATGAGCTCCAGGGGAATGACCTCATAATTATTCATAGACATTTGGTGATCAATCATATATTTTTATGCCATCAACACATGGAGAAATGTCCCCTTAAAGAGTTTCTTTTGCAAAAATAGAGAATCTGGTCATCTGGGAGTAAGTATATTCTTTTATTAGTAATTTTTCTCGCTTACAGGTAGTGATAGCAGCTCTTCTTTTAATGGATAATTTATATTTCTTTGGCATTCCTTCTTTTTCCTCTATTCATTCTTAATGGTTCTGATCACTAGATTTTATCTAATTTTCTAACATTTTTAAGAGTGTAGGGTCCAGAGTTGGACACTGTGAGACTCCAGTAAGAAGTGGGAACCTGGACACAATTGGGCTCAGCTATGCCCTTGCTTGCAGTGTAAACCTGGGCAGATTAATTCGCCTCCCTGAGCCTCAGGTTTCTTATTTACACCTGAAAATTGTGATACAGGTTGTTGGCAGGTTTAATGAGATTATGTAAAGCATTTAACACAGACCTTGGCAGATAGCAACCACACAAGAAATGACAGCAGTAATATCCTTAGTAATATTGTTCTTATAGGCCATTCTCCTGTTAACGTGTCCCCATGAGATCCTTTTTAAAAACGAATGTACTGCTATACAGTTACCTAACACTGAGTGCACAGTGTTAAAAATGCCCAGGTTCTTCCCATTTGTGCCATATTTATGTCCTACTTGTACTCTACCTCAGTCTTCAATCTGGGTACTTCATGAACTATCTTGAATGTGTCCCTATTGTTTTTTTTTGGCAAACTTATCGTGTTCCCTGGAGAGAAAGCCTGACTGTGGCATTACCGCCACCATAGCCAAACAGTAACAGTGAGGAGGGAGTGTATAATTCCCTTCAGGACACCGGAGAGAATGTTCTTTATGACTTTTCAAGGTGACCTACACTCAGTGGATGCTAATAAAACATTGCTGGTTTACACTATTACGCATCAGTAGATTCTGCTGAATGAAAATACAGGAAAACTCAGGAAGCCAATTTATTCTAAGGAAATTAACCTCTAGCTTCCACCTCCAGGGTCAGATGTTCTCTGGTTTCTTCACTTCTAGGATAACAATATTATTCACATTATGCTTTGAACAACACTACTGTGCATTTTAATTCACCTATATTAAAAATCCCCTCTGACTCACACAGACCCACTTGGGTTCTAGAAACTGTCGATAAAGTTCTCAGATAGATTTTTCCCTTGAAAGAAAGGATTACAGGTTCTTTTCAAGGAGAATCTTTTTCACACAGTGTGAAAGAACCACAGGCGTTCCCATGGGAATTGGCCGCATACATTTCAGCCCTCTCCACAAGATGTCCATTGTCCCCGGGCGGCTCTTGGTTTCCTCCGCCACGACATGTGGCTGCACTTCACTTCCACTGAAAGCCTCCAAGGCGGGGTTACTCCAAATGATGCTAAAGAACTCAGCCCTTTGGCCTGTTGCTAGGACTCATAAAGTTCTAAGTAGCAGGCTGGTTACCATAAGCACACACAAAATAGGATTGGTGACCTAGTTAGGCAAGCACTCAAAATCCGTACTTAAATTTGAGTATGTATTGCAACTTATTGAAACACAAATAAACAGGAAACATTTTTCTTCATAGGGAATGAGGGAAACATCCTCAAGTCTGACCAATTTTCTAAACCAAGAATCTGTGATCTGTCATAATAATTTCATAGTGTATCCACTTGCACCTGTAAAGCTGAACTTTGCAGGTCCTACTGGCTCTGGAATTGATATGCAGCTTGCTAAAAATCTTAATTCAAATTTTGTAGTTTATTTTTCCAGAAAGCATACCCAAACTCTCAAACTACAAGGAAAATTCAATGTTAAATGTAGCTTTATTTATATTTAAATTCCATATATCAAACAACTGCATGACCAATTCCAATAATGTCTTAAGTATTTTTTCCTATTCTTTAAATTGAAAACATATATGAATGTCATGAAACCCAATGACCAATTACTATAGCAATTTGAAGGAACAAAATACATATTTGAAAGAACAAAGAAATGGTTAGATTCAATTATGGTTTCTAAGATATCTGAAATCTTTCAATGGGAAAAAAAAAATGTAGTAACAACAAATAGTAATGTGATAGTCCTACTCAGTGACTGTCATGAAGCTACTGAATTTTCTTTGAAAACCATAGGCAGGGTCAGTCTCTTTGCTGGTTGCAAAATGTTTCTTGAGGTGAACAAAAGTATGAAATAGAAATGAGCCTAGGCTATTATGGAATAAAACAAAAAATGCACATAGAAGCACAATGTTCAGCTCCTGAGGCCTAGAGACATGTTTTAACAACCCACAGAGAGGTGGCTTTTTTACCCTAATAACTGGAAAGCACGCATACACGACCAGACACACAACTCCCAAATGCGCTTTATCTGCATAAGCAGCCAGCCCCTGGAAGTTTCTCTGCCCAGCTCCCGCAGCCCAGTCCTTGTCTCACTGCAGCTTCTGACATTTACTTTAATTAGCTTTTGTTTTTGCTGAACAAAAGGACAGGAAAGAGGATAGTCATACCTCTTAGCATGGGAAACTCTGGCCATCATAGGAAAGAGAAGGCAAAATGCTTGATCTGTAGAGCAATTCGTCTGGCCCCAGGACCGTGCTCAGAGCCAGCCCTGTCCCGGCAGCTCCTGCCCTGTCCCGTCCTGCGGGCAGCCGCCGAGCTCCCCTGTGCCGCTTGTCAAGGCTGCGGTGCACTTGATTCCCTCCCCTGGACTCACCGCGTGGAGTCAGGCAAATGAGTAACTTCTCCCTCTCCCGAGCTTCTGCTTAGAGCTAACAATTGGCACAAAGCTTTGCTTATTTCTACAGGAGATTTGCAGAAGCTTTTCTGAGCGAATCGGTCGTTTGAAAGAATGAGAAGATTTGCCTAACTACCAGTAATTTAACTTCTGTTAATGAATAACCCACTTGAAGGAATCAAGGAAGTTTTAGGTTAATATCAGATGTGGGGCCCTTTATCGGGCAGGCATCAGTAAAAATGCCTGGGGAGGGATGGAGAGAGGGAAGTAGTGAAGTGAGGTAGTATTTAAGCCAAGCATAATAGGAATAAAATAGCACAAGAGAAGTAAACCAGCAAAAGGAGCAAAACGCCTAAGTATGCTGCTGATGCTGCTGATGAAACACCGAAAACGAAATGAAGCGCTAGGGATTTTCCCAGCCAGCACTGGTCCTCTTGCACCCATCCAAATTGCTAGTTCACTTCCTTTTACCATCCAAATACAGAACATCGCCTTTCAGGCTTAATGCACGGCGGACCCCTTACAAGCAGTCCTACATCTCCTTGCATCTCTCTCTCTTAAGAAGACTCTTCAGACCTCTAATGCATAAATTAATTGGTGGTACCCAGTGGGTTGTTATATCTGGAGGCTCTCTCTTCCCTTTTAAGTGTATGACATGGGCTCTGTCCCCTTATCGATCTGAGGTTTTGCCTACACACAGAATGACAGAATACTTCTGAGCCATTCTAACCGGCTTTCAGTCAAACTCAGTGTGAGTGTGGCGGGGGAGTAAGGTGTGCAATTGGAAATACCAATGCTTCTGTGTCTTTGGCAACACGGTGCCATGTAAATAAATTGCTGGCTCAGTTAAAAGGCATATTTACGGTGTAAAGAGACCTTTCTTTTGTGTTTATCACCCAACATCCACTTATCATACTTCTGGTAAAAACTGTACCCAAATTTGTCTTGGGAAACAATGTTTAGGCAGAATTGACTCACACAGACAATGGGTCTTAGCCAGTCAGAGAAACTGCACTCTCCTGACAGTAGTGATTAGTCTAGGGGAGGTGTGTGACTCCTTCCAGCCCAGTCAGAGTCATGACATAGTCAAATGTTTGGCTTTGGTGGGACAGAGTCGTTCCTGCTGGACTTGATAAGAAAACGTGAGGACTGGTTGCTCTTGCCATATTGCCACCAAGATACCAAATTTTAGTGACTTCATTTCGGCCCCTTAAACCAGCCACCCCTGAAGCTGACAAGCTCTGCCCTTCACTGTAAGCCAATTCTTTACTAGTTTATGTGAAATTAGGTTGGGCTTTCTGCCATTTGCCATTTAAAAAGTTCTACTGGACAGAATCAGCAAAACCCAGTTTTGTGGGAGGGCTCTTCTGGGTCCCCAATAGGGCAGCTCCTTGCAAAGGAAATGAACTAGGAGACTCATTAGGAACCAACTATGACAAAAAGAGTCCCTTTAATAACAACTGCAGGTTTCCACCGACAACTAGTAGAGGCCGGAAAAGCCTGAGAAAGAATGTAGTCAGTCATTCAGTGTACCTAAAAGTGGAACTTTCCAAATTAATTCTTTTTAACTACACATTCAGTTCCTCAAATGGTTCCACTTTAACCACCTAGACTTGTTTGGTGGTTCCTAGCCACATACCGTTTGACCTCAATAAACCTGACCATGAAATCCATCCATGCGTACACAATTTTCATAAATTCCTTTGGGTAATTAGTTTCACAGACTATTGCTCTGCTTTAATTTTACCCCCTTCTGCTCCTGTCCCCACCCCATCCTTGGTAAATTTGAAATAAAGAGCATTCTCTTTAGCCACAAAGTCAGACTAAGTTGCTTCCTTATGGCAATTATATAAATTCTAAAGCAACTTAAAATGGGTAAATTACGTATAAACACTGAGAATTCCTGGATGATATAATTTTCTGTAGGTAACTCTTCTTACCTGAAACCTGGGACAGTCCTTCAGGATCACCATTTCTGTGTTCAGCCACCCAGCTTTGCAAGAGCCCATTACAGGGCACAGAAAAACTCAGACATGTCCAGGATTTCCATTCCCTGGAAAACATGAGGCCCAGATAGTTTCATTGGTACATTTTATACAATACTTAAGAAATAAATAATACCAACTGTATACAAATTTTCCAGAAATTTTATTTCACAATAAGATGCTTTGAGAACTATTCATATATGAATTATAAATAAATATCTATAGGTGTATATAGCAGCTGATAGCATTTCACCCTATGAATTAGCACATTTTGTTTATCTATTCCTCCACTGATAAAGTTATAAGTGGTGTACAGGATTTTATGAAGAAACACTGTGTTGTTGGGATTGAGAAAACACATTCGAGATAGGTTGCCTGGCTTCACATCCAGTCCTAACATTTACTGGCCATATCACTCTGGGCCACAATCTTACTCTTTTTTTTTTTTTGTATGTCAGGGTTTTTTGTTTTGTTCTGTTTTGTTTTCCTATAAGGCAAGGATGTTAACTGTACCTACCTCTTAGAGTTGTTATAAGGATTATCTGGAGATAATATTTGTAAAGTACTTAGAACCAGACTGGAATGCAGTAAGTGCTACATGAGTGTTTGTTAAATACACACTGAAAGGAACATCCTTGCAAGTGCTTCCTGGTGCACAGTTGCAGAAATTTGTCTAGGATCCATACCAAAAATGAAATTACTGGGTTGTAGGGTATGCACATTTTTTATTTTACTAAACACTGCCAACTTACACTCCAAACTGTCAGTACCAACCAATACTCCCACAAGAAGGGGCATTTTTGTCACATGCCTGACAACACTCAACAAAGACTCTAATTTAGTGACCTATTTAATGAAAATGCTATCTTTTTTGTATTAAGTTGCCTTTCCAGATAAATGATGAAATTAAACACATTTCAAATTCTGAATATATTCATAATTCCTCTTTTTTTAAATGTCTTTTTAGACTCATGTTCTTTCCATGGATCTAATATGGAGAGCCTTTTTCTTACTGATTTGAATAAGTGTTTTATGTATCGTAGACACTAAGGCTTTGTCAGCTACACATATTGCAAGTAAATTTAATTTATGTCTCACCTTTGTTTTGGGGAGGTTATTTACTGTAGAAATGTTTTGTTTTAATTTAAAATTCAAAAATGTAATACATTCACATAGTTCAAAAAAATTTTTAAATATGTATTAAAAGGTGTACAGTGAAAAGATACCCTCGAACCCCTGTCCCCCCCCATCTATTTAGTTCCTGCCCGACCTTCTGTTACAAGAAACAACATATATCCTTTCAAAATTTCTTAATTCAAATACAAATGTAAATATATGTTTTATTTCCCCAATTTTACATAAATTGCAATTAGCTGTATATACACTCAATTCTGCATATTGCTTTAACCACTTAAGATCTTGGTGCTTTTTCCATAGCAGCATGTTGAGAGCTTATTTGTTTCTTTAAAGCTGCATATTATTCCGGGGAATCCAAGACGGCGGCGGGCTGAGTGGAAGCTACACCGAAACTCTCCCGGGACCAATCTGGATTTACAACTAAAACAGAAAAACCATCCTGAAAACCAACTGAAGATGAGCTGGGGAGCACCCTCATAACCAAGGAGGAAAAGTGAATACAGTACAGAGAATGGTAGGAACTGTGGACGCGAGAGGGCTGGCTGGGCTCCCACAGGCTGCAGCTGAAGGTCCGAAGGGAGATCTCAACTGGGGGGCGGGGGGGAGGGTCCCAC